TATATTCTCTATTTTTTAATTTTTTTCCCGCTTCAACTCAAATTGGTCACCATCCATTATTTCCTTTTTTTTAATACTCATGCTGTTTTTTTTCCCAACGTCCTTTGTTTTTATATTATACATTATTATATTATTATTATATATTATATACATATCTTCTGTTTAGTCTATATATTATATATATATATATATATATTAATTTTATACTCTTTTTTATATATTATTTCACTTTCTAGTATTTGCTTCTTTTTTAATATACTACCCATGCTGCTTTTTTTCCTCTCCTCCTTTAAAATAAACATTTAGTCCATTTTTTAAATTTTATTTTTCCTTTATCCCGTATTTAATCTTACTTATTCTATTCTTATTACTGCCTCACTATCTTTTTTTTCGCTTCTGCATTATAATTTTCATTTAATTTTCCTTTTTCCATTTCCATATTGTGTATTTTCTTATATGAACTATCTTATCTAAATTGTCATGAAATTATTATTAATCCTATCTTTATCTATTGCATGCTACTTTTACTTGTTTTTTCGTTTTTCCATTTTTTTATTTCCTTGTATTATCTATCTTATCTATATTGTAATTGAATTATTCTTATTCATGTCTTATCTATACTGTTATTCAGTTATTATTAATCATAATAATAACAGCACTTATTATTATACTGCTAATACTAATGCTAGATTAGTCGACTAAAAAAAACAAAACATTAATAATCAAGCCATTATAAGCAGACGCCTTCCCCTTCTCTTCTATTGGTCGGCGGATTCACCTCTCAGCATACGCAGCCTACAATCCATTAATTTTGGGCGTCTCCATGCACAATTTGCACGTCTTTAGACATGCTTTCCTGGGTTCTTATGCATGCAAGAGCAGCAAGGTAATCATTTGAATTTCTTTCCCTTTCATTTCAACCTACTTTCCTACTTTTTCTACTTCATTTTGTGTATTGCTTCCGCTTCTTCTTAGTCGAGCTTTCCCTTTCCTTTGTTTCTTGTGCGCCTTTCTTCGGTCAGCTTTCTTGCTGTTTTACTGTTGTTCCCTATTACATCTGCTGTAAGTGTTGCTCCGATTTCGCTATCCCAATTCTTGTAATAGTCTTTATCCTTTTTCCCTTTGCCTTTTTTCCCTCCCATATCTTTCTACCTATTTTCCCCCCATATTTTTCTACTTATCATGCTTATTGCTTTATTCTACTTGACTATGCTATTATTATTCATCTTGCATTTTTAGTTGCTTTACGCTTTTGTTTGTTCTATCATTTTCATTTTCATTTTCATTCCGTTGTTGTCTCTTATTGTTTTGGCTTAACTTTTTACTTTCACTTCTACCCAGTTTTTTTGGTTGCCTCTGTTCCTTTTATGTTGGCTTTCCCGCCGAAACATTTCCTCTGTTATATATGTTTTGTATGCCGTCTTGCTCATCTTCGTTTTCATGCTATTATTGTTTCTGCACTTTGTAGCTTTCTAACATTTTTTGCTATTTTTCATGGCCCTCTTGATTTCCTCCAGGTTCTGCTTGCTGCGAGTTGCTACTTATTTTCCTGCTTCAGCAAAAAAAAGTACTTAACGCTTTTTTATTGTGCTTGAGCCATTATGTTCACTGATCCATTGAACTTTGTTCTTCTCCTTTTAGAAGCATTGCCTCTGTTCTATATGTTTCGTATGCTTTCTTGTGCATTTTCGTTTTCATGATTATTGTTTGTACACTTTGTAGCTTTTTGTCGTTCATTGCTATTTTTTCGTTGCCCTCTTGATTTCCTCTGGCTTCTGCTTGCTACAAATTGCTACTTATTTTCCTTGCTTTAGCAAAAGGTACTTAACATTTTTTTAACTCAACCGTTATGTTTACTGATCCACTGAACTCTGTTCTTCTCCTTTTATCAGCCAACAATTACTAGCTACTTTGTTCTCCTTTTTTTGTGTTTGCCACGTTATCTTCTTCTGCGATTACTTCCTGTCTAATGTGCCTACTTTGCGGTTGGCAATACCTGTACCCCGTTTATGTAGTTCTCTCGCAAGTCTCGTCTCATACCATATCATGGATAGAAATGCAAAACACCGGAAACATTATGCAGAGATGCCCCGAGAAAGGAAGGAAGAACTTTTATGCTGTTAATGGACAGCTAGCGCGCGTCGTTATGCACAAATGCCCCAGGCTAAAAAGGATGCTCTTTTACGCCGTCGGAGGGAAGCTAATGCTTCAAAGAAAAGAAATATGCCCCCTTCTGCCTCTGAATGTCTTCCAAAACCTGGCCCTTCCAAGAGAAAACGTCCAGATTCCACTCAAACAACTCCGTTAGATCCTATAGGACCGTCCATTACTATTCCTGATGCTTCTGTGCACGCTTCTTCAAATCACAATGCTAATCTTCTAATCAGTCAAGAGTTAGCAGGTACAGCTTCATATGCTTTTCACGTTCAGCCACAGAACGTGTTACCATGTGCTGACCTACCTCACCTGCTGGCCTCTACAAATGCTTAACTGGAAATTGAAAATCATGCTTCCTCTTCTGTTATTGCAAGTTCCATTCCGTCTAGTGTTCAGCAAGGTAGCCCTTACCTTTAGTTTTCAGCTTTGCAATCTTACTACACTTTACTGATAATTTTTCCTACCTTCTCTTCCGTATAGCTATTACCAATGAGTCTGTTAAGCTTCTTCTTTTTCCCTTTTGCTTTGGCCTTTCTAGCAGCTCCTATTGTCTATCTGCCTATTTTGCCTTCATACTCTGCATTCACATTACTCATTCCTTATTGCTACAATCTCTCTCTATCTTCTTGCCTTTTTTTTGAATGCTTAGCTCATTTTCACTCATAGGAAATGCACCTTACTTTAGCACTGTCGAACGTCCTTCGGTGTCCAGAAAAACATGTAGCTCAGGTTGCATTCTAATTGTGTCTAGTTAAATCCTTTATCGTTACCTTTCCCCACTCTGTTCTTGTCCAGCTTATCCATGGAACAAAGAAACCAACAAGTGCCCTTTGTTCCAGGTTGGCAGCGAATATCTAGGAACACTATTCTCCCTCGTTTAGAAAGGATTCATGACCATTCTTTGGTTCTCCTTGAGTCTCCAAACTATCAGCATTGTGGAGCTATACGGTTCCATTTAGAACCTCCTAATTTCTGCTGTTCAGGAGGAGAAGTTTCACTGGTCAGCGCACCGATGCCTTACGATCTTCGCCACCTCTTCATCGGTGATGATGAAGAGTGTGAACATTTCAGGAAGAATGCTCGTACATACAATAACAATGTTTCTTTCACTACTTTTGCTGCAAAATATGATCCAGAACTGACAAAAAATAAGCACGATGTCTATACGTTTCGAGTGCAGAGCCAAGTATATCACTTCCTTGATAGTTTGGTATCGTAGCATCATAGACCATCTGGTATTCAGTTGTACTTTTTTGATACCGATGAGGAACTTGCAAGGAGGCTTGATGCTTTCTCTCGACTGCGTGAAAGCACCCGTAAATTGCTCATGCGTATTCTAGCTGGCAATCCTTATGCCAGATTCTTTCAGGATTTGCATCATGTTCCTGATCTCGAACACCATAGAATTGTTCTTAATTGCAATCCTACTTTTGATCAACGTACATATAATCTTCCATCAGCTTCTCAGGTTGCTGCTATATGGACCGAAACTAATCATGAATCAGTTGATAAGTCAATTCATATTCAGGTTTATAGTCATTCTGATCAAAGTCATATGATTAAGCATTATTATGCTTGTTATGACTCTTTGCAGTACCCTTTATTATTTTCTCGTGGTGAATTTGGATGGCACCATGGGATTCAAAGGATTACTTGCGGAAATAGGAAAAGATCCCGTCCCGTCTATGAAGATGATATTCCTATTGATCCAACATCTATCAGCAGTCCATCTGATTTGATTAATCTTGAACAGAGAGGCAAGTTCAAACTTATGATCTTCAAAGCATAGTTATACTTTTCAGCCACAATTGTCTTTTTTGCTTCGTGCCATTAATACGTAGTTGCATTTTTTTCAGCCGCTGATCGTGGCAAGAAACAGAAAACTAATGTCACTGCTAGGGAATACTACTGTTATAAGTTTCAGATGAGAAATAATGATGAGTCCATGTTGTTACATGCCCTGAGACTATTATAGCAATATGTCGTTGATATCTACGTTAAAATAGAGACATCTAGGCTTGATTTTCACAGACAGAAACAAAATATCATTCGGACTGAAGCTCTTCAAGGAATAATGGATAGTGTCTCTTTAGGCCAAACTTTTTGGAACGTCTCCAAAAAGATAAAATTGAAACCGCAGTTTCTCCAAAGAAATAATGGATAATGCTCACCTACTGCTTATATTGAAACCGCAGTTTAAGCCTCTAAATCCAGAAGCCCATGATAAAATTGTATCTGCTGAGTTGCCTAATCGTAAAGAACATCCTTATCTTTATTCTCTTGTTGTAAGGCACATGATACATGGCCCTTGTGGAAAAATGAACAAAAACAGCCCTTGTATGAAAAACGGTGTTTGCAAAAATCACTATCCAAAAGGGTATTCTGAACATACGACTCACGGTGAGGATAGCTATCCAAATTATCGCAGACGAAAGAATGGCAAAAAAATTAGAGTCAAAGGCTATGATTTGGATAATAGGTGGATCATCCCATATACTCCATACTTGCTAGCTTTGATTGATTGTCACATCAACGTGGAAATCTGTTTAACTGTCAAGTTAGTTAAGTATTTATACAAATACATATTTAAAGGCCATGATCTTGTCAACTTCCACATCATAGCTGATGAAACACCTCAAGATGTTGATGAGATCAAGGAGTTTCAGCGAGGTCGATAGGTTTCCCCTCCGGAAGCTTTGTGGTGAATTTACGCATTCCGCTTGAATGAAATGACCCCTGCTGTTTACAGTCTTCAGGTTCATCTTCCTGGTCACCAATATGTTTCCTTTAATTAGGATTTTGACCTTTCACAGCTCTTAAAAAAAATTGATTTCTCGAAAACTATGTTAACTGAGTTCTTTAGGATGAACCGTGTAAACAAAAAAGCTCAGAGTCTCAAATACTTGTATAGAGATTTTACTCAGCACTTTGTGTGGACACCTACTAAAAGAAACTGGACGGGAAAAAGCAAGCAAAAGGTTATTGGCAGGTTAGTCACTGTTAAACCAAGCGAAGGTGATAAGTATTATTTAAGACTTCTTCTCTCACGTGTTCGCGCTCCTACATCCTTTGATGACTTGTTAACAGTTAATGGATGTAAACTGAATTCGTTTAGAGAGGCTGCTCTAGAGCTTGGCCTCTTAGAATCTGATTCTTACATTGAGGCAACACTTGAAGAAGCTGCTAGTTTTCAGATGCCTTCTTCGCTTAGATTTTTATTTGCTACTTTGCTGTTGCATTGTGTGCCAGCAAATCTAAGTCTTTTGTGGGAAAAATTTGAACTGGAGCTTTCTAGAGACTTTGAGCGAGCGCAGGAGCAAAGTCATTGTTCAGCTGCTGAAATAAAACGGAAGGTTCTATACGATATTAACAAATCACTCTAGCATATATGGAGGCATATCAGTGACTACAAGTTAGTTGCAGATGCTGTTACTCTTACCTGTCATGAAAGCATGACAAAGGAAGTGGACAGCGAAAGGAGTATCGTGGTGTCACCAGAAGATCTCTTAATAGCTTCAAGGTTAAATTCAAAACAAACGCATGCTTATGATTTGATATTGCAGACTGTTTTTTCGTCCAAAGGTCAGAGCATTTTCATTGATGGTCCGGGGAAGGGGACGGGAAAAACATTTTTATATCGTTCTCTTCTTGCGACTCTTAGATCACAAGGATACATTGCAATAGATGTAGCGACTTTAGGAGTTGCAGCATCACTTCTTCCTGGAGGAAGAACTGCTCACTCCAGATTTAAAGTCCCATTGGACTTTTCCAAGAATAAAACCTGTCAATTGAGAAAGCAAAGCAGCATGGCACAATTAATCATTGAATGCAAGTTGTTCTTGTGGGATGAAGCATCAATGGCAAAAAGAGAAAGCATTGAAGCATTTGAAGAATTGCTGAAAGATCTAATGGAGACTGACGAATCTTTTGGAGGCAAAGTTGTAGTTTTTGGGGGCGATTTTCGCCAAACTCTTCCTGTTATTCAAGGGGCTGCTAAGGACCAGTTAATTCAGGCTAGCCTCCTACATTCTTCGTTATGGTCTAGGATGCACAAAATAAAGCTAACACAGAACATGAGGGCTGTCTTAGATCCTGCCTTTTCACAATTCTTGCTTGCTATTGGGGAAGGTGCAGAACCTGCTGATGTAGATAACCAGATATGTTTACCAAGTCATATGGTTATATCATTCTACAATCCTAAAGATTCTTTTGACAGGTCCTCTATATTTCCTGTCTTTGTCGCACACTCCTGCCCTTTTTCATCAGTGTTACTGCATATATCTTGCACAAATTGCTAACACAAGATTTTTCGATCAGGTTGATAGCTTACACGTTTCCAGATTTGAATCTCTACTCATCTAATCCTCATGAAATGATCAGTAGATGTATTCTGACCCCAAAAAATACCTCTGTTGAAGACATCAATGAAATGATGATTTGAAGGTTTCCTGAACAGCTTTTTACTTATAAAAGCTCTGACCGAACGTTGATCAGAGATTTCAGGCAGATTATGGGGATTTTTTTAATACTCAAAATCCAATGGGTCTTTCTCCACACAAACTCATGCTAAAAGAAAACTGTCCCTTAATCTTGCTCAGGAATCTAAATCCAGCTAAAGGATTGTGCAATGGAACAAGGCTTATTTGTCGGCAGCTAAGACGGCACACTATCTGTGCTGAGATAGCTTTTGGTCAGCATAAAGGGAAGAAGATTTTCATTCCCAGAATCCCATTGCAGACACCTGATAATGAAAGGAATGGGATTCCATTCATCAGGACACAATTTCCAGTTCGCATTTGTTTTGCGATGACAATTAACAAGGCTCAAGGCCAACTCTTGACTATGTTGGTGTATATCTAAAGGAACCCGTATTTTCTCATGGCCAATTATAAGTTGCACTCTCTAGAGCAAAAACTGCTGATGCAGTTAAAGTTCTCATACTTCCAGGAACTTTTGCTAAAGTAAAAACTGACAGCAAAACAAGAAATATTGTGTTTGATGAAATATTGCAGTTGTCTAATTGATCATTTGCGCTCTTCATAGGTATCTTGACATTTAAATGTTGTTAGCTATAGATTTCATAGCTTATAATTTCCTTTTGCCTTCCAAATAGAAAGTTCTTGCTTATTTACTATTATTATTGCTAATGTGTATAAGATGTGCACTATATTATCTATCAAAGATGTTGAGGTCGGGATGGAGAAGTAGACAGCAAAGATCATTGTCCAGGAGAAACAGCAAGTTACCTCATCAATTAGCACACCAACTAGGAAATAAAAATTTATCTTTATTGATTCTGAGGTACTTACTGCAATTTAACTTCTATTCTCAGAATCCTATCTGCAATAACACGACTCATTTGTCCTCCATCATACTAATTCTTTTTCAGGGATCGAAAGTTGAAGGCATCATCTTCAATGCTGATATTGCTATAATGAGCCCCAAAATAGAGGTTTACAAAAAGTACCTTATCTCCAATGCTCAGGTGAAAAAGATCCCTGATCCCTTCAGAGCCACCGATCTAGCAAAGCAATGGATAATCACCAGTCGAATAATTATTGAAGAAACTATAGACGAAGAGGATGTTATAGCTGCAAAGTTTACATATACCAACTTTAGGGACTTGGCACAGTACATGGATCGAAAGGACATTTCTATTGGTGAGTGTCTTTCTTGTCAACCATAACTGTAAGGATCGAAGACAACTTAAGAGGGGGGGTGAATTAGGCTTTCAAAAAACCTGCTAAGATATAGTCCACTTTTTCACAGTCTACCTTTCTTTTCTCAAAGACCTCCCAATGATCAAGATAACACAAGAGCACAAGTATTCGTGAGATGAAGAGAAGAACAGTTTATGTAGAAAAGCAGTAAATGAAAGTAAAGAAACAAACCAGGCTTCAAACACAACTGAGGTTTGAACACCACTTTTATATACCAAATTACTTCAAATTGAACAAACTTGCAACCAATCTTTTGTGTACAAGGAAGGGATCACTTCCTTCTTGCCCCAAAGCACACTTGGTCAAGCAAGGAAGTTTTACAAACATTCGCAAACCCTCACTATGCTACACTATTGAAGAAGCTGTGTCACACTTGAAAAACTACACGAAGATTGCACAAGTAAAGAGTACAAATGTTCCTTTTGAGTATTCTAACACTTGAATCACTCACGATCTGATGTAGGCTTGATGTACAAAGTTCTCTTTAGGTGATTGACTTTGTTCTACTTATAGGAGACCAGAAAGTTTTTCAATTAATGCTATCAACGGGTAGAAGGTAACTGAAGAGTCAACTAGCCGTTGGTGCTGTCGGACGTCCGATGTTTGGTTTTTATGCGTCCGAGGGTAGGATGCACACTTGGACTTTCTTCTTCAATTCCTTCGGACGGCCGATGCGTCCGGAGTGATTCGTCCGAAGAGCAGCAATACTTGTCGGACGTCCGATACACAGGTGTTGAGCGTCCGATCCTGATCAGTAATCAAGTAACTCCTGGCTTATCTTCTTCGGACGTCCGAGTCTGAGTTCTTTACTCGTCCGAAGATACTCAAAGAATGTCGGACGTCCGATACTCTCCTTTTGTGCGTCCGACATCATCCTCAGCAGACTTCATTCTTTTTGATCTTCTTTTTCTGCTTTAAATCCACAGACCTGTTTGGTTCATTTCTGAAAAGGATCTTTACAAAAGGTATTAAAAACATCCATTTGTTTTGTAATCATCAAAAGATATGAGTTGAGATAAACAATCTCCCCCTTTTTGATGATGACAAAACAATTGGATAGAGCAAAAAATATAACAGCTCCCACTAACGAAGTGCATGAGTAGTATACAGGAAGAAATGCAATCCACATCATCAGTGCTGATCCAACTCAACTCCCCCTGAGACTGACTCCCCCTAACTAGTTACTCTACACCATCAGTGTTAAACCAAATCCAATTCCAATTCTCCCCCTTTTTGTCATCACAAGATTTAGTATCAGTTTTGGTACCAGCAATGCATCCCATCAGAAACAATATCAGTATACACATTTACAATGTACAGTACAGTTTGGAATCAATCATTTAGCATATATCAATCAGAAACATTCATTCAATCAGCAGATTGCACAAACACATAACCAATCATAACACCCATTCAAAACATTCATAACAAAACACTTAGTTATAATATTCATAAATAGTAAAAAAATATCCAGTTGTACAACCAGGTGTTCAGCACTTAATACAAAAGTGCAATGCAAAAGATGAACTATAGTCCTAGATAAAGGTGCAGTGACCTAGTATTGCCTAGATGGTGATTTTAAATGATCCAGGCCTTCTTCTGGCCAGACGATACTGTGCAGGATCCTCTTCTTCCTCAGTTTCTTCATCACTATCTTCATCTGATTCCTCAGTTGCTGGAGCCTTGCCTTTATCCTTGGACTAAGAACTGGAAGCTGGTGTAGTCTCAGTACCAGTAGTTGGTCCTGTGGGCTCAGTTCTTGGCTCATTTACATTGCTCTCAGGTATTGGAGGGACAAGAAGGTTTCTTTTTTCAATGAAGGAGGATTTTTGGTCAGAGGTCATGGTCATCATGAGACCTTCTTCAATAAGCAAGACATGCTGTTTGAAGTCTTCAAGCAAGGAAATGACTTCAGAATTGGATGTGAAGGACCTGCTAGCAGACTTCCTAGGATGAATGGTGAAAGGAGAGACAAAGTCTGACTGATCACGAGGAGTCCTAGGAGTGACAGGGGTTTCATGAAAATTTTTCCTTCTAGACTCAGCAACAGTCTCCTTATAGCACCAATGGCCTTCAAAAAATTTTAAGTTCTTTCGTTCAAAGTAAGCTTTTGAGAAGATTGATGAAGCACTGTCTTTGGGAGATTTTTCAGAAAAAGGAATTTCAAAATGGGCAAAGATAGGGGTCAGAAATCTGCCATAAGAGAGCTTCCTATGGCTGTCAGTGCTAATTTTGAGCAAAAACTTGCACATTACAAATCCAAAGTCAATGCGAATTTTTTCAACAAAGCAGTAGAACAGATAGAGTTTCATTTTGTTTGCATCTGTTCTGTGGCCATCAGTTGGCACCAACAGATTTGAAATGATGGTGAAGATGATCAGGTTCTGAGGACTAAGATCATCCAGTCTTCCTCAGTAGGAGTATTGAATGTGGTTTGAAAATAGATCATGAGTTTAGCATTGTAAAAATGATGGTAGGTAGAAGGAAATTCCTCATATGAAAAGAAATTTACAATTTTTCCTTTGAAACTAGGTTCAATACTGGTGTTCAGAATGGAATTCACAATGTCAGGAGTTAACATGATGTCTACAGAATTGACCCTAGAGATGAGTTCAGTGTGTGATTTACCCTTTCTAAGATTAGCAAAGAATTGATACAGCATGTCAGGGTAAAAGACATTAGGAATGGTTAGAATATGAGTCCATTTCTGGAATTCAAATAGTTTGATAACAGGTTCAAGATCAAGCTTACGAAATTCATAGGGAAGGATGAGCCTTTGGGTGATGAACCTTTTTTGAGAGACTAACTCAAATCTGTCTCTAGCTTCATCATCAATGAATTTTTGAAGAGGAGTGGGTTCTTCTACTGGCTGAGACACAGGATCCTTTCCAGAACGTTTCCTGTTTGAGGTTTGTGTGGCAGATGCCTCTACATTTTGAGCCTCAGTTCTTGTCCTTGGAGACTTCCTGGTAGAGGGTTCAGGAGTTTTCTGACTCCCAGTGGTGTTTCCTTCATTCTGCTGATCATCGAGGGATCAGCAGACTGCTTTTTCTTGGATTGAGGAGTGCTCTTCCTCTTTGCAGACCTCTTTCTTTTAGCAGAGGACCTTGTGACAGCTTTATCACCCTGGACAGCCTGTTCTGGTTCTTCGTTTCCACCAGCAATGTTTTCACCCTGATTCAGCAGTTGGAATATCCAGTTTTCATTAGGCAGTTTGCTTCATCTTACCACCACGGGTTACAATCTTCTTTTTGGGTGCCACAGGAGGTGGTTCCAAAATTTCAATGTCCTCATCCCTAAGTCTAAAGGATCGTCCGGCACTAGTAGATCCTCTTCTGATTCTAACCATGATGCAATGTGGATATGATTTTGGATAAGGAATGTGGTGTACAAAGAGAGAGTGCAGTAAGAGCCAACTAATGTGCACTGAGAAGCCGCAAAGAGGGAGTTATGGGAAGTTAGGGTTTCGTATGTAAATTGGGAGTTCTGTGGTAGTTGGGGGTTGGGAGTGATTTTTATGAGTGATTAATGCGCAATAGAAGTGTAATTGAGTTGGTTGGTTCAATTTCTCGGAACTTGGTTTGAGGAGAGAGGAATTTGAATTTCAAATATTAGAGGAAACTGAAAGGTTGCGTCCAAGACTTAAGAAAAAATGAACTGAGAAGAATGGGTAACTGCCTTATAAGACTCAATTTTTGAGTGTCGGACGTCCGAACGAAGTGAAGCGTCCGACACAACCGTCCGAACCAGGGTTTTTTCTAAATTTGGATGAAAAACACTGTCGGACGTCCGTTCCAATTTATCGGACGTCCGATAAAGATTGACTAGAAATAAGAGTTAGAATATCTTTTCTGACACGCCCAATTTTGTTCTCAAGGACACAAATTGATCTAGTGGAAGAGCTTTTGTGAGGATATCAGCTATCTGTTCTTTAGAACAAACAAACTCAACACGGATTACCCCATTGGAGACAAGATCACGAATGAAATGATGCTTTATATCAATGTGCTTAGTCCTAGAGTGTTGAATGGGATTTTTTGTTAGATTGATTGCACTAGTGTTGTCACAGTACATGGGTACACATTCATATATTAAACCAAAGTCATTCAATGTGTTTTTCATCCATAACAATTGAGCACAGCAAGCACCGGCAGTAACATATTCAGCTTCAGTAGTGGATAATGAGATAGCATTTTATTTTTTACTAAACCAAGAGACCAAGCAATTTCCAAGAAAGTTGCATATGCCAGTAGTACTTTTTCTATCTATTTTACAACCACCAAAGTCAGCATCAGAGAATCCACACAAAGGAAGTTCATGACATTTTGGATACCACAAACCAAAATTTAAGGTTCCTTTAAGATATCTTAAGATTCTTTTTACCCGCATTCAAGTGTGATTCCTTTGGACAGGATTGAAATCGAGCACATAAGCACACAGCAAACATGATGTTAGGCCTACTAGCAGTTAAATAAAGTAAACTTCCAATCATACCTCTGTACTTCTTTTTCTCAACTTTTGTACCTTCTTCATCTTTGTCAAGTTTGGTAGATGTGCACATAGGTGTTCCAACAGGCTTTGAATCCTCCATTCTGAATCTTTTCAGCAACTCCTTGGTGTATTTTGTTTGATTTATAAATGTTCCATCTTGGGTTTGAATCACTTTTCAGAAGGATCACCTATTATAAGCTCCCTGGGATGATTATGAGCAAATTTTCAGACTCTTGGAAGATCATTAGGAGTAGTGGTATCTCTATTATTCACTTGTTCAGCTGGACTGACCTGAGCATCAGTGTCCTTTGAATCAGTTTCTGGTGAGGCAGAGTCATGATCATTGATTGCTAGCTTCTTCAGTTCTTCTTGAACACCTGTGTCATCATCTTCACCACAACTCATAGAGATGTCACCATTAGATTCATCAAAAGTAATGTGTATAGCCTCCTCTATAATCAATGTTCTACGATTATAAACTCTGAAACCTCTTTTGTTTTCACAATAACCCAAGAAAATTCCCTCATCAGATTTCTTGTCAAACTTTCCAAGATGTTCTTTGATATTCAAAATGAAACATTTACAACCAAATACTTTGAAATAACCAACAACAGGCTTTTTGTCATACATGAGCTCATAGGAGGTTTTGTTCAAAATTGGTCTTAGAAGAACTCTATTCATGGTATAACAGGCTGTGTTTATGGTTTCAGCCCAAAAATATTTTGGTAAATTTGTGAGGACCCGCAAATTTCCTACATTTTTCCTCAAAAATGCCTTTTATTTGAAAATTATTATTTATTAAAGCTCTACTATCCAATTGTTCAACTCTAAGTGCAGATGAACCTAGAAAATAGGATTTTCCGCTTCGGTTTCAAGATTTGAGCAAAATTAGGGTTTCGCGATTTTTTCGCCGGATGAATTTTCGGTACTGGCCGAGGATCAATTTGATGAGTAAAAGTGACTTTTAAGTGAGAATTAATATGTAAGTAGTAGCAATGATATAAGGTTAGTGAATGGGAAGTAAAAACCCTAGTACGTGAGTTTTAAGAAAAACGGCGCGAACCGGCGGGTCCCGCGCATTACCGTTTGAACGCACCACTTGACCACCACTTTCTTACCCTACAAGCTCATTGACAATTGAGCAAAATATCTTCTTATATTACAGCTAAGGGGACCGAAATTAGTGGCTAGAAAGCAAGGGAAAGAAAGAGAAAAATTAGTGGCCAAGATTAGGCCAAGTGTTGGGCAACTTGTGGACACCATTAGTTCTAATCCTTTTGACTTTATCATAAGACAAACTTAGCTCCATTTCTCTTCATTTTCTGCCAAGGGAGCCGAGAGAGAGAGAGAAGAAGAACAAGGGAGAAATTTCTTCATTTCTTCTTGATTCAAGCTACAAAGTGAGAAATCCAAAGAACTAAACCGATTAAACTTCTCCTTGGGTGATTAGCTAGTGATTGGTGGTGAAATTTTGGAGAGAGAAGGCTTGGACTACACTTGGAGAACTCAAATCAAGGTAAGGGGGATGATATCTCTCTAAATTTTTCTTTCAATCTTGGTGAAATTAAGTCTAGTAACTTGAGTAGTAGTGGAATTATGGATGCTAGCATGATTGGAAGTTTTTTTTTCCTCTTTATATGATGAACTAGGGTTTGGGAAATTCTGCCCAACTTGTTATATGATGCTTGTATGTTACAATTAATGTTGTATAAGATGTTTTGGTAGTGTGAGAAGTGAGAAATTGGGGAAAGTTGCACTAGACACTACAAATTTCAGATTTCTGGAAATTCTAGCTTGCATTCTGTCCGAATTTGTATCTGTGTGTTAGAGGCCGAATTGGCCTTGGGTCAAAGAAGGAAAGTTGTAGAGAATGGTATTTTGTAGGTGCCTGTAAACTTTCAGCTCAATCGGAGCAACGTAGGTCATGAAAAGTCCAAAATACCCTTACTGTTTTAAATATTTCCCAGCAGTCTGTTTCATCAGTTAAGTCCAGTTTATCACGTTTTTTGACTAGGATCCGTACTGATTTAGCTCTGGGCCAAAACATGAAAGTTGTAGTGTTCTGAAGTAGCTTTAAAATGCCTCTAATATCACCTGAATTGGACTTTTTTACATTGAGTTATGTCCGTTACCGTGTAATACGTTTAAACAGCCGACGAATTGGTTTCTGGTTTAGTAATTTGAGAATTTGACCAAGTTACATTAGAAACTGG